AAACATAAAAGGGAGATCGATTCCCAAATGACTGGATTTAGAACCTTATTGATATATCAATTATCTAAAAGGAGAATTTAAACCTTGTTACGAAGTTTAATTTCCAAATAAAGAGGAATACTTAATTAGTAGATTAATTCTTGAATGGGTTGATTTAGAACCTTGTAGATAAATAGTTTATTAGAAAGGTGAATTTAAATTTTGACTAGAAGTTCTATTTTCAGACAAAGCAGAATACTCAGACGGGAGATCGATTCCAGAATAAGTGGATTTAGAATTTGACCAACATATTGACTATCGAAAGAGTGAAATTCAAATGTTGACTGTAAAATCAATTTCTATTGAACGCAGAATACTCAGACGGGTGATTTGAAATTTCTTTTTTTAATCATATAATATAATTAAAACATGGTACGGTATAAATTATAGAAATTTCTTTTATTTATTTTGGACAACCCTTGGGATGAGCGACTTTATACACTATCGATCATCTAGCATTATGGAAATCATACAATACGATAAGTATAAAAATTATTGATTTCATGCATTACGATCTATTAGAAGACCAATTTCATACATGGTAAATTATTTTATATGATTTATATTGTATAGTACGATTGATCATAATATTTATCCATGATTTAATTGCCTGATATAGAGGGATTAATTAATAAAGATTTTAATTACGGCATGCAATATGAATTAAATTATACTATATGATCTACATATAATTAGTTTATTTCTTAACCTCTGGCAACTATGATTTTGATAGAGCACAATAGATTGTATAGTATAAAATAAGGTCATACATTACAAAGACAATATTATACAACATGATATACCAAAAATGCACTCTCAAAACTATTTTTCTCTCTCCCACTATGTGTGTGCAAGGTTACTCAACAAAAACATCTACCCAATTATATAATATGACTCAAGAAAGGAAAAAAAAATATAGAACAAATTCAAAATAGACTTTAATCTTAGTCTACCTAGTCTTGAGCTGATCAAAATTTCAAATGTGCGATGGAATAATTACCTGAAACATTAGCACACACAAAATAAATTAAGATATCTCAAAAATAGGAGAATGTAGTAACTGACATAATAAGTTTTGTTATCATAAAAATTATAGTGCTTGGATTAGATTTTTAATAATCTTCCAATTTTTTATGTTAGCAACATTGTTGTTTAGGATTTTCAAAAAGTTGTTTTCCTCTAAACTCCCCCTTAGATGATATTCATATATAAAGAAAAAAATGAATAATAATACAATGACTGTAACAATATAATTCTCCCCTTTAACATCACAAAATAAGAAAAAAATTAGCAGGATGGAAAAATAGAAAAAGAAAAATAAACAAAAGAAAAAAAGTAAGAAGAGTTTTTTTTTTATTAATTTTCTCCAGTTAATAATAAATTTTCCTCATAATTAGAAGAAATCAGAAAGAATTGAATTGACATAATGAAATTATGAAAGATTGAAAAGTTGTTCTTGTCATCCCTAGCTAAAACACCTTGCAGGTTAAAACACCTTTGAAATAAAATCTAAATAAGAATAGAAATTAGATAGAAAAGTGATATTTTCAAACTTTGTTTCATATAAATATTTAATAGAATAATATTGCAAAGTAATTAATTAGAAATTATGATTTTAAAATTTAAGTGTAGTAGATATCAATTGGTAGAGGGAGTCTTCTGAGATTTTAAAGATTTGAAGGAAAGGCAAACTAACTATTAGTGGGCTCATTTTATGTCTGTTTATCATCATTAGGTGCACATTATTCATCTTTTTTATTTTTTATAAACTTTTTGCAACATGCAATTATTTGGCGGTGATTATGCATAATTTTAATTTTTGAGCTCATGTTCCAATTTTTACATGCTTGCTTCCTTTCTGAATCTTAAAAGTTTTCTCAGTTGTGAGCTTTTATTCCAAACATGAGAGAGGATAAACCAACTCTCTTACATAAGGAAGAGTGAATAATAAAATAGATTATTGTCCACATGATAAATGCAAGCAACTTGATTAAGAAAACCTAAAAGAGAATAACTAACTTGGAACAATATTCATATGAGATAGATTATTACATGAAGATAAAATAAATCACTTTTTCAAATTCTATTTTTTAATGTGAAATGGATTTTGATTTGAAAAGAAAAAATACCATTAATGGAGTTAGAGGAAGAGAATTAATCACTAATGTTTCTTCTTTTATTTATTTTAGAGGAGTCAATCACTGTATACTTGTTTCGAAATAAAAATAGGGAAAAAATGTCATTTTAAAAATTAACATCAGAAGTGAGTAGTGATCTGATTCTTAAAATACTAAAGTAAATTTATAGAAAATCAAAAGATTAAAATAAGAACACGTAAATATAAACAAACAAACAAATAAAAAAAATAAAAAGTTAGAAATTGAAAGTTCATAAGTAGAAGCATTAATTTCAAGCATGAATGACTAAAAGTAGAGAAGCATGTCATACTTTTTAGAAAGAAAAACTCCAATTTTTTAGAGAGAGAAAATTTTGAACTTTCATCTTCTCCAATTGGCAGTTTTTTTGGAAATGCCGCCTGCACCTTTAGCCACCACTCCTAGTGGCTGAAACTTTACTGGGTCACCTACTCCATCATCCCATATCATCCAGCAATCAATCCATTTAGAGCATTCCAGTGGAATTCAAAATGTGAAGAGTAGGAATCGACCTTTAATAATTAAAGAGCCTATGGTGGTCCCGGTTATCTCCAGTTCTCCAATTATTGGTAAGGGAAAATAGGTTATCAAGGTTGGTTCTTCTAAAACTCCTTGATCGCTAGGAAATGCTTGAAAAAATTATTGTGAAGCATCTTCTTCATCTGGTATAATTTTATTATGAATAGATTTGGCAATGCAATGTTAAAAAATACTTTGATTTTAGAGGGAGGTCTTTCAATTCAAAACATTGGTGATGTCACCTCAGCTGTTTGTGATTTTGCTTATGAAAAAATTTCTGAGTCGATGGTTCAGGGAAATTTAAGTAGGTTCTGAGAGGAATAAATGGAAAGAATCCTTGGTCTAAAAAGCCTTATATTAAAATCAATTTATCTAAAGAAGAATCTTTTATGTCTGATGATGGGATCACTATTAAACTGCATAATTCGAATGTGAGAGCTAATTTTAAAAAATTTCAATTTGCGGTGGTTGTCAAAGTGTTTGGCAGAGATGTATCTGTCCATTTGGTTGCAGGGGAATTGCGATGAAAATGGTATTATTTGGGTAAATTTCATCTCACTGTTCTTGGCCAGGGCTGGGTCTTATGTTCCTATTCATCATTGGAGGCTATAGAAAATATGCTAACGGGTTGACCTTGGTTTGTGAATGGACATATTGTTGGTCTTGACAAATGGAGCTCTAAATTTTCTCCTACCTCATTGAAAGGCTTATCATCGACAGTTTGGGTAAGAATGTTTAACCTTCCTCTTTATTGTTGGGAAGAAATCAATGTAGCTAGAATTTCTTCTTTGGTGGGTACTTGGAGGTGATACAATTAGAGAAAATGTTTCATTCCAATAAATATTTTAGACAATAATGAGTTTGTGGAGAAGGCTCAATTAGCAAAGGATTCAAATGAAGATTTACCTTATGGACCTTAGGTCCATGTAGATTATAGAAGGAAGAAGAATTTTATGGTAGTCCATAAGAAAAAGAAGAATGTACTTAAATCAGTTCAATTTCAGATAGGAATTTCCCTACTAGAAGTTATAATTAGCAAAATCTAGTGTGAAGGAAGTAGTTGGCAAGGCAGTTGAGGTGCATGAAGGAGATGTCCCTTTATCAAATTGAAATGTGATTGAGGAACCAGAATTGGAGGAATGGGAGAGTCTTCTTGGTGATCAAGGAGTTTCCATGAAATCTGGTAATACTCAACTCTTTTCTGGTGATTTTGATAACAACAACTTAAGGTTGTTGAACTCCTTTGGTGAGGATAGAGAAATTTTAAACAAGTCCAAAGATCACATTTTGGATGGAGTAATAGGGGAAGGTGAGATTGTGAATCTTATGGATGGTCATGTTTCTGTGGAAGAATCTTTGGCTACTTATGGGGATAATGCTACTAATTCCAAGGCTGAGGTTGTAGATACTGTTTAATTCCACTTCAGGAAGTTCCAACCTAAACTTTTGAAGCAACTGAAGTCACTTGGTCCGTTGGACTATTCTTTGAAGAGCATGAAGGTTGAAGGTGTGAATAAGAGGAGTGGGGGTCCTTCTCCGTCTGTAGTTAAATGAGTTCCATTGCTTTTTGGAACTGCAGAGGGGCAAATAAAAAGGAAGCCTCTCATTATTTGAAAGAAGTTTTGAAAGATTGGGATATATTTTAATTGGCATTGTTGAGACTAAGATCTCTTCTATTATCAAGGGAGTATTTTGTAAATTTATGGGTAAGGAATGGGACTTCTTTATTTACCCTTCTAATGGATTATCGTGTGGAATTATGGTTTTGTGAAATTCTAAGTTGTCTTTTTCTCTATTTTGAATAGTTTTCCTCAATGTGTTACTAGGGAATTGAAGTGTGTTAAGGATAATAACAATTGGGTAATCTCCATGGTATATGTTGGTAGTGATTTGTAAAATAGAAGGAGTTTATTTGAAAGTTTGAAACTGTACTCTAGCTCAAGCCTTCCTTCAGTCATAGGGGGAGATTTCAATTTTATCTTATCCCAAGAGAACATGAGGGGAGGAAAGAAGTTTAAATTTTTAATTGGTCCTCAAGAAATGAAATCATTTATGAATAATAATGAATTCCCTAATGTGGGGTTGGTTTGGCCCATGTTAACTTGGTGTAATAACAAAGTTGGAAGCTCTCAAATCTTGGAGAGACTTGATAGGTGTTTATTAAACTCCAAAGCACTTCAACTGGTTCAGCAATCAACCACAAGGCATTTAGCAAGAATTGCATCTGATCATTGCTTGATAGTAATGAAAATTATCAATTCTAGTTTGTTATAAAATAGAATACTCATGTTTGAGGATGTCTGGGTGTCTTACCCAGCATCTATTACAGTAGTGCGAAGGTATTGGGGTAAATCTCTGGATGGCAATCTAATGGAGGTTCTGAATATAAAATTTCAGAGGTCATTGAGATCTTTATACTTCTGGAGTAAAGTGAAAGTTTATGATTTATCTAGACTTAAAGAAAAGTTTAAAAAGGAGATAGCTGATCTTCAGTTAGAGGAAGCTAATGATGGTTGTTTATCTGATGAAAAGCTCATGGTTCTGAGGTCAAAGGTTAATGAGTTTAATACAACTCTGGATCAGTTGAACACCTGGTTGAGAAAAAGGGCAAAGGTTAAATGGTTAGAAGATGGTGATAAGAATTCCATGTTCTTTCATATAGTTGTAAATGGTAGGAGGAATGAAAATTTTATTAATCAAGTGGATGAAGAGGGTAATATGGTTGATGATCCAAAGAGTGTTGAAGAAATCTTTTTCAAAGCCTTCTCAAACAATTGGAGGGAATGAGACGGTTTGTTGAGAGGATGGCCACCATTCCAATACAATCTATGTTAGGAAATTTGTAGTCTTCTGGATGATGATGTCTCCTTACATGAAGTAGAGTCTGTGATAAATTGCTTAGGTAAGAATATTTCTCCTGGAATTTATGGTATCACTTTTTGATTTTTCAAAGCTTATTGGAATATTATTAGTTAGGATGTTTGGCTTGCAATACTTCATTTTTTTTTCTTTGGGAAAAATGTTTGCTAAGTGGAAGGAGACACTTTTTAGTCTAATCCCCAAGGTTTAAAATCTAGTTCTTCCTTTCCACTTTCATCCTATTAGTTTGTGCTTATCTATTTATTAGTTTCGACTAAGGTCTTATTAAATAGACCTATGAAGGTTATTCATAAATTAATTTCGGATGTTCAGGTGGTATTCATTAAAGGAAGGACTCTTTTAGATAATATTCTTCTTATTCAAGAACTTTTCAATAAGTTTAGACATTCTAAATCTAAAAAGGGTTTGGTGGCGACTAAAATTGATATGGAGCAAGCTTATGATAACATGGCTTGGTAACACTTAAGCAAGTTCTAGAATCATTCAGTTTTACAACTCAGTTTTCTAATCTTGTGATAGAATGTGTAGTAGATCCTCATTTCTCTTTTCATATTAATGGTAATAAATATGAGTGGATTGAAACTAAAAGTGTCTTTAGGCAAGGTTGTCCTCTTTCTCCATATTTGTATATTCTTTGTTCACAGCTCTTATCCAATGCATTTATTCATAAGGGGAGACATTTGGGAATTAATGCTGCTCCTAATGCTCTTAAGATCAGTCAGTTGCTATATGCTGGTCATATTTTGATGTTCTCTGAAGTCAAATACAAATATATAAAGAAAATTAGAATAATTATTGCTGATTATTTCCTATAAACGGGGAAGTTTGTTAACATTAAAAAATACAACATTATTTTTGGTAAATCAATTAGTCAGAGTAATATAAGGGCCATCTTGAACTTAATAAGATTGAAGGAGGTTAAGGAACTAGTTTATTTGGGTATTAAAACTACATTGAGAAGGATGGTATATGCGAATTTCTTATATCTCTTTGAAATAGCTGCTAGAAATTGAGCGTTTGGGGGAAAAAACACATTTATTTTACAAGGAAACTGGTTTTGATCATATCAATTATTCTATCCATATCAATTTTCTTTTCTTCACACTCTGCGGTACCTCTAAGTATCCTGAAAGAGGTGGATAAGATGTGTTGGGAGTTTTTGTGGAATAAGGAAGGAGGCAACCATGGGTTACATTATGTGTCTTGGAATGAGCTTTATAAACTGGTGAATCTGGGAGTTCGAGGATTGCATTTAGCTAAATCTATGTTTGGCCCTCTACAAGCAAATTTTGCATGGAATTACTTTAAATATCATGATTCTCTTTTAAACAGAACATTGAAGGCTAAGTATGGTGATTTTCGGGATCAAAATATCAGAGAAATATTTCTAACACATGTGAAGTAGTTTCAAGTGGGATGAGAGCTCTTCAACTGGTTGTAAGATGGAATGTAGCTTCAAGTTCTTCTATAAACATTATAGAGGATATATGGATCTTAGATAAAAGCTTAGTTAGATGGCCAACCTTTATAGTTGAGTTGTATGAGGATTTCTCGTCTCTTGAGACATTTATTGATGATGGAGGTTAGAACCATGCTGGATTACAGAAATGGTTTGGCACTAATTTAATTGAGGTTATAGCTCAGATAAAAATTTTCCCAAAAAATTCTCAAGATAAATTGGAGCTAATTTAAATTTTTTTTGGTAAATCTATTGCTTCCTTAATTACTAGAACAAGGTTAGTGAATTTGGAGAGCCCATATTATGGGAGATGGATGAAAAAACTGCACTTATCTCTAAAGGTGGATTATGTTTAGTGGCAGGTATTTAAGAATGCAATTCCTACAAATGACTTCATACTGTATAGTTGATTGACGGATTACCATTCTTGTCCATGAGGTTGCAAGGCAGTTAAAAATCTAGATCACAATGTGGCTAACTGCTCCTATGTTAAACAAGGTGGGGTTTTCTAGTTCCAACTTTTTCATCATTTGTGGAGAGTAAGTGTAGATTGGAGGAGTTGTCATAAGGTAATTAACATATAGGAAACCTGTATTGCTTTCTAGTTTTTCTTTTATGGGGAAGCATGAACTGTATAAAGCATGGAGATAAGGAGCTTCGTTTGTGCTTCATTTAATCAAAGGCTATTAGTATTTCTTCCATTGCATTGAATTTCATTTTCATATCACTAGGGTGTTAACAAGCATATGTTGTCTTTTATTTCTTGGCACCCTCCTCCTCCTGAATGGATTAAAGTGAATATTAATACGATTCTTTTATAATCTCATGAAGATGGTATTGACAGTTTTTTTAGGGATCATAAGGGCAAGTTCTTCGCTTCTTTTGGTTACAAATGTACTCATTGGGATATCGGGTATCTTGAGTTATTAGCTGTTCAATGCTTGAAGGAGGTCATTTAAAGGTGTTATAATTGAGGGAGATAATTATAATATCATGAAGCATTTACAAGGCTCGGTTGGCAAAACTTATTTGGAGATAAATAAGGAAGAAGTGGAGGACATGTCTTTTTTGAAAGACTTTAGTTTTTTTTATTTAAGTTTACTTATAGAAATTATAATAAGTTAGTTTATTGTAGTGCTAACTTAGCTTTAGAATGTGATTTTTTTTGGATGTGTTAGATTGTAATAAGGTTCCTCCTACTTTTATTGCTTTGTTAAAGGAGGATTGTGATAACTATTCTATCACTTAGTAGTTTGTATTAGGCTTTTCTTTTAAATTTCAATTATATTTGCATTTCTTCAAAGAAAAAAGAATGTCTATCACAGTTAAAATGGTTCTTAAGATGCTAAAGATTTCAAAGACTAGTGGTTATGTAAATATATAAATAACTCATTTTTTAGTGGCTAAATGGTGTAGCTCTATATCTCCTTTCGTAACATGGCCCCTATTGAAGCGGTGCCTTATGTCTATGTATTTTATCCTGATGTGTTGGATTGGATCATTTGAAATGTAAATCGCAATATTATTATCACATAAGATTTAAATGGTGCCTATAGGTAATCCTAAATCTATTATTTATTACTTTGAATAAAGGACATGGTCCACACAACTTCTTAAGGCTATATATTCATCTTCAGCAGTGGACAATGCAACTTTGTTTTGTTTTCTACTGGACCAGGAGACTATGGACTGTCATATAAATTAATACATTTTAGAAGTGCATTTCCTATGAATTTTGCATCCTACAAAATCTAAATCAGAATATCTTATGATTTTAAAGGAAATATTATTTCTAGGATACTAGATTCCTAAGTTTTCGGTTCCTAAGAGATATCTATGGACTCTCTTTACAACAATCAACTAGGACTCTTTTTTATTAGCCTAAAATCTAGCACAGAGATAAATACTAAATATATTAAAGGTTCACTAGCTGTCAATAAAAGAAGTGATCCAATTATTTCTCTAAATTTTTTTATTAACAACTTTTCCATTTGAATCCTTATCTAACTTAATAGTGGAACTCATGGGTGCATTCATTGACATGGATTTATCCATTTCAATTTTTTTAAGGATGTCCTTAATGTATTTTGATAGACTAAGAAAAATTTCATCATTCATCAACCATATAGTAAATCCAAGAAAGTATGTTAGTTCTCCCATCATTAGTCATCTCAAACTCCTTACCCATAATTTTTGAAAATTCATCATATAGATTTTTATCAGAAGATCCAAACAAAATATCATCAACATAAATTTGGATAATAAGTAGTTTATCTCCTACCTTTTTCAAAAATATGGTGGTTTATAAGCATACCTTTACAAAGTTTCTCCCTAGTAGGAATGAGCTTAGCCTTTCATACTAAGATCTAGGTGCTTATTTTAGTCCATCAAATGCATTTTTTAATTTAAACACATGATTAGGGAATTATGAATTTTCAAAGCATAGAGATTGTTCAGCAAACAAATTCTCTTTTATTACACAATTTAGAAAGACACTTTTGATGTCCATTTAGTATAATTTAAATACCTTAAAATAGGCAAAGGTTAGTAGCACCCTAATGGCTTCCAATATAGCTTTAATGGCTTCCAATATAGCTTTAGGGGAAAGATCTTTATAAATTTAATCCTTTATATCTATTTTTACCTCTTAGTCACTAATCTTACTTTATTTCAAACCATGACTTTATAATCATTCATTTTGTTTTTGAAAACAATTTTAGGTCTAACTAGACTCTTGTTCTTTGGTATTTCAACATGTTCCCAAACATCATTCCTCACAAATTGATTTAAGTCCTCTTGTATAACTTGGATCTATAATTAATCAGATAGGGCTTAATTTATGTTTGTGGGTTCAGTCATTGAAATGAAGTCAGAGTGATTAACTTTTTTTATAAGTCTATGCCTAGTTTTAACACCTTCATATGGGCCTCCGAAGATTAGTTCTTTAGGATGACTTGAACATTATCTTTATTCTATCAGCAATGTGTTTTCAGATTATGCCCTTTCCTCTAGATTTAGAGATTCTACTACTTTGGTGATTTCTACAACTTCTTCTTCTTTTACCCAAGAGCCTCCTGAATTATCAAATTCATCAAATACAATATAAGTGGTCTCCTCAACCACCAATGTAAATTAATTGAAAACTTTAAAGGATTTTCTAATATTTAAGTACCCTAGGAACACTCCTTCGTCAAATTTAGGAACAAACATTCCTAGTAAGGATTTCCTATTATTCATAATGAACACTTCATATTTAAGAACATGAAGGTGAGACATGTTGGGTGTCCAACCCTTAAGAATTTCATAGGATATCTTATTCATCCTGGATCTAACATTTATCATATTTAGAATATAACAGGCTATATTCACCATTTCTACCCAAAAATATTTAGGAGGTGAGTATTTAACTAACATTGATCTAGAGGCTTCTATCGAGGTCCTGTTATTT